TACATTAAACGACATGAAGTAGGATTGTTCAAATACATATAGAGTATTCTGTTGCTAATACACTATTGAACTGTGAGAATAGTATTCAGACCTTAACACCAACAAATACAATGATTCTTACAAAGTGAGAATAATATTCCGTTGGAACCCATTGTCTGTATCACACCACCACAATTTCTGTTCACTTGAATTTAAACACTTTTGTCCTGTAATTTACTTTTCATTAGTTGGTAAATTTGGTCTGTGGTAATGTGTTTGTTGTTCTCTGATTCATCTGAGTGAACACTAAGCTTCTAGAAATTCTCTGGAAGTATTTTTGGTGTTTAAAATTGCTATACTTTCAAAATCAAATTGCTGCCCCTAATTATCTGAATGCGTCAGGATGAAAGAATATATATCTTGCATTTTCACAGCTAATTTATGTTCCTGGATTCTGAGTCAAAAAGAGGATGTCCTAGTTTGACCAATATAGTGTTTATTGCTGTTCATGCAATTTGTTTACTTACAAAATGAAACAAAAATGATCAATAAACACGTAGATCGATAGCCAGTCACTAGAGTGGTTGTCAGCAGGAGAAACAACTATATCATCATACATGGAGGATTCGGATAAGTTTATTTCATAATGAAAACAGCACTGAAGATGTTGACTAGGAGGGCAGCGAAAGCTCCATGACTAAGTCAACTAATTCAGAGAACACACTTCAGAAAGCTACTATGACTACTATAAGAAATTCGTTGTGTGGTGGAATAATGATGCCCAATATGATCATAAACTGATTTCAGTCAGACGAGGAGTGAAAACGAATCCAGGGAATTCTGGACAGCCTTATTAGCATAGTCAGGGGATACTTAAGTAGTATTTACCTATGACAACACCAGTGGGTGGATAGAACCCATGACCTTCAACCACTGGAAGGGAAAGTTTTGTTTGGAAGAGAAACCAACTTATCCATAACCTTCTTCAAGTTTGATATTTGGTGAAGTGAATCCAACGAAACACTGTGGGTTTCAGTAGAGATTCGTTGTGTGTCTTTCTGAAATGATAGAGTTAACTAAGATGCACACAACCACAAGATAATGAATCGCATTCAGTATTGATTGAATTATCGTCTCAGTGATGATTATTACTCACGACGTCTAGTGTTGAAATTTAGACATTGGAATGTTCAAAGGTGATTCCTATTCTTCCAGAGATAATGAATTGTTTTGTCGAGAATCCTAAAAATGGATAAACCAAATTATCTGAGTGAACATGCAAAGTAACAAAACTAATCAATTAGTTCTGCTTCCAATGAATATAAGAAAATCTGGTCAGAAGTCTAATGTTCTCATGATACAGTGACGGTCATATTTTGTTGATGCAACAGTTGACCTAAAGCTCAACCTTAGTTACTAGCTTGGGTTCCCATAACTTGCAGAGAAAACCTGAGGACCTATAAAGTTATTCTGATTGATTGTAACTGGCAACAGAGTCCAGGTAGAGGATTATATAAAGTTCCGGACTCGTTAGTTGGATGTACCTGCCAGCAAACTTAAAGAATACAGACCACGTCGAAAAGTCATTTATTTACAAGAAAAATTTGCACAATATTGATAATTTCCTATGATTAGTTTGTGAGGATTAGATTTGATTTTACGAGTTGATCACGGATTGATATCAGTTAGAGAATTATTGCAAACCAGCAATGGAGTACTGAACGGCTGTTTCATCCTAGTTTGGGAATCATCGGCAGCATGCACCTACCACCAGCGTTCAAACCCAGGACCTTCCAATTACAAAGCTGGCTTGTATACCATTTAGCCACTGGGACCCGATTCAATGGCCCATGAATTCTAACTTATAACAGTTTGGGATTTAGCGTGACCTCAACGAGCTTTCCTTGTAACCGGAAGGTCCTGAGTTCGAACCGTGGTGGTGGGTGCGTGCAGCCGATGATTCTCAAGCACTAGGATGAAACAACTGTCCAGTACTCCCTAGTTTTCAATGGTTCTCTAACTGATATTAATCCGTGATCAACTCGTAATAGTGATAAATCATACTAAAGACAATATTTTATTCGAAATTATTTGAAAAATACCTCCCAGTTACGATGAAGGGGATGACTTTCCAAGTTTCAAAGCTATCAAAAACGATTTCATATATACGAACAACAAAACCGTTTTCTCTCAAATATTTACTTACAAAAACAACACAGACAATAATAAAATACCCTTACCGTAATCTTAACCACAACCATAGTTCTAATACTATCCTAACCCTATGAACCAAGATAAGATTTGCACATCAATTTGTGCACCACGTTGATACTAGCACTTTATTAACAGCAGGTTATGTTATCCAATGAGTGATATGCGTTCAAGGTCAGTGGTGGGTTGGCACTCCCTGATCGCTATTCTTTAGGTTGGCCCAACTGTGTCTGCCAGTGGGTAATGCTATTCTGAATGAGACTCGGACCCTATACCCGTCTCTTGAAACTCCAAATCCCGTCACATTGCGCTGTCGGGCCACGAGATCCACCTCCTGTGAAACGGATACCAGTTATCATCACTACTGTTATTTGGATTAATTTGCTCTCCTCATTGTTTGTATTTGACGGAAACTGACTTTTTAAACTGATACCCGTTTCAAAAGAGATCGCTTTCCTGCCTCAGTATTCAAGTGGACAGCACTTCAGCGTTGGAAACAATGCGTTCTGGCCTGACTCATGATGATAGTATCATCACCAACTGTGAATCTAGGCATATTCAACTGACTGGTCCCAAAGAGTACTAAATGCAGGTCCTGTTCTCTGTCTAACTGGAACAAGCTGGATTCAGAAAAGGTAAATCATGTGAAGAACAAATAGCAACTCAATGCATCACTTTCGAGCAGAATATAGAATGGCAGTCAAACCTCTACCTCAGTTGCATTGACTTTGAAAAGACCTTCGACAGTGTTGATCATGGCTAATTCGTAGAGCACTTCAGCGCTATGGAATACTAAAAATCTTTATCAACCTCATTCGGCAGCTAGAGGACAATATAATATGTCAGGTGATACAAGAACGGAAAACTCAGCAAAGCTTTCGAAGTGAAGACAGGAGTAGGACAAGACCGCCTACTATCAGCGATGATATACCTAAATGTGGTGGAGTGAATTAAGAGGAAGACTATGTGGGGAGAAAGAAGACACGAGTATGCTTGATTGATAAGAAGAACTAGATTTCGCTGATGATTTATGTATAATATCACAAACTTGAAGATGCACTGGCAAAACCCAACAAGTTGACAGAAGACGCAGTGGAGATAGGGCTTCAAGAGAACATAGAGAAGATGGAGTTGAAGGGGACAATCAGCCAACGAAAACAAAAAGCACGAATCTCTACCGATGGGAGGAATTTGAAAGAGGTTACTTCTTTCACTGCCTAGGAAGTATCGTTTTAACTACAGACAGCAAAACCTTCATTACTCTGAAATCAGATTGAAAATCTCCTGCACTCAGTATAAGAAAAACAATTCAGATTTTGAAAGCCAATGTTAAATTAGTCACTTCCGCTAAATATTTCATAAACTTGCACTGAGCATCATGAAAATCATTTCTAACTGGCTACTTTAGACTTTTATCAACAGATGCCCACTTCGTTAGCTTTATACTAAAGATAAAATGGCCAGCCGGAAAGAATTAGCATCACAAATCATCCGAAACGAACCAACCAAGAATCTACTACTCAACAGATATAGCCAAGGAAATACAGGAGTCGATTGATATCATGCTCCAGGCCCGAATGGGAAACGATGCACTGCGCTAAAGTTCGAGATTAACGTAGTGGAGACGGTCCGAAATGGAGAAAAAGAAAGCTTATTCTCAATCTTGAAGCCAGCTAAAGATGACCGCAGGGAATAGGACGAAGTTGACATGTTCTACTGAAACCCTATGTTCCACTCGAAAGCCATCAGGACAATAATAATGATAATCCTCAGATTTCGTTGCACCGTCCGTTCTAGCAGCGAACCTACTAACAGTAACATAACATTTTGCTCCAGCGTAAGCAATCAACAGGATCAATCCTGGGTCATGGTATTAGAAAGCATAACAGACAGAAAATAAAATTATTTAAGTTGACGTCAAGTTAAATGATTGCATGGAACATTCGTAATTTCGAAAATTGATTTAAACTACTAATAAGTAGTTTGAATAATTCTGAAAAATAACTTCCTAGTACCGGTTATTTTACAGATTATTGTTTTCTATAGTTTGGTTTGTAGGGGTTAGTTATGTTTTCGCGAGTTGATCACGGATTGATATCAGTTAGAGAACCATTGAAAACCAGGGAGCAATGGACAGTTGCTGTTTCATCCTAGTTTGGGAATCATCGGAGTACGCACTGGTTCGAACCAGGACCTTCCGGTTACAAGCAAGCTGGCTCGTATACCATTCAGCCACTGGGACCCGAATGGTATACGAGCTTGCCTTGTAACCGGAAGGTCCTGGGTTCGAATCCCGTGCGTACTACTGATGATTCCCAATCTAGGATGAAACAGCTGTCCAGATTATTTTTTAAAATATTCGGTTACATTCGGAGTCAAAGTTCATAAATCGTCACACGAAAACCACACAGTTACGATATTCATAATACTGTCTTCCCTTGTCATCTGCTACAATAATCTTTTAGTTTAGGGCACTTAGGTAAAATATAATTCCATTTTTGTTAAGTTTATTCAATACACAGTGATACAGTATTTATAACTGAATAATATTTTGAGCACAATTTCCTGTTCATAATCATATGAATGCATTCATCTTCAAAGCCGTGTTGTACAAAGACAGGCCTCCTCTTCAATACTCGTTATTGTTATACTTTAAATAAAGTACTTTATTTGTAAACAGTACCATTTATCTGCATTGTTGTAACAATAATAAAAAACAGTATTACAAGTGAATTTTTTCTTTTTCCTTTTCAGTACACACTTATCGTGATATCTCAATAATCACAATGTTTATCAAACTCTATTTCTCTATGCTTGCTCTAAGCATATTATCCGGTCTATTGGTCGTTTGCAATCCGGTCAGATATGAATTCGGTAAGTTAATGACATATATATGTAGTGATTGTTAAGGGATGGTATGATAACACATAATGTTAATTCTTAGACGTTGTTTACTGGAAGTTGACTAGCAGTTGGATCCAGGATGCACATTTCGTCCTGTTTTGGACTCATCAACCGGGTGTACCCGCATTTCCTTTCTCCCCAGTGGATGATGGTGTCCCCAATGAGACTCAAAACTATTATCCTTAGTTCCAAACTCGAAGTTGTTATCCACGGGACTATTCGTCCTTAATTTTTGAAGTTAACTGTTTCGTTTTGATGTACTGTAGTACAGTTTAATGAAATGCCCGAAACAAGTAGTTCAGCGAAGAGGCTGTTCTCGGCGAATTCATTTTCCCTGGCTATAGAGTCACATTTATATCGTAATTGTTGCACGAAATGGGATAGTAAAAAAAGAGATAAATTGTCATAATCATAGCTGGGGTTCGATCCCCGGCCACAGACGCACTCCTTTACCTCACTAAGCCAGGAATAAGACTGGTAAAACGGGAAGGTTGGGCATGAGGCTAGCAACCCCATCCCGTAAAAATAAATACCACTGCTACCGAAACTTCAAAGCTCTAGCTTGTAGCCATATGTTCCGCTGGCATCCTAAAGGAATAAAACAACAAATCATAGCTGTTAATATTCATCAGTGCAAAATAAAAAACGAGTAAAGGTGTCACAGTTACTTAGTGAGATAAATAGCTCAATGAATGGGTTGTAATCAGAATGCACATATAAACGAGGGAAGATGTGATATTATGTAAGAATTCGAAAGAAATAGAAGAATTAGAAATTCTTAAAAGAAATAAAACAATCAAGTTGGTAGAAAACTACAAACTGATTGCCATAATAGTCGAAGTGGTTGGATAATCTTCCTTTGCATGTAGACCTACGGCTTCTCTAATTGAATGGCTAGATCTTCAGAAATTCAAACATGGTGAGAGAGTATTATCTTTGGCAGGCCCCACTTGGCTTTTTAAATCACTTTGAAGCCTGAGTTTACTATGATAGAATCATCAGTGTAGACAAGGTGTTCAGTTATCGCATTGTTTATAGAGCAACCGTTACCTTTCTGCAACCATGTGGGGTAGTATTTTTCAATCGTTTCAATGTAAAGACCAATATATCTGGCTGTACAAGAACAGCTGAACTTATATCTGCAATTAGAAGTTGTTAGAAGTGAGATGTTGTCCCTCAGGCTTCTACAGACCGGAAGACAACTCCAAGACATTACTCTTAGCGTTACTGCGGTGAATATTCCTTTCAAAAATATTGAATTTCTTCTCTTAAGAACATGGCAGATTAAGTCTCTCTTGAAATCGAGGTTCATATAAATTATTTTGTACACACTACCTCTCATTTTTCTGAATTTTTGGCTTGATATACTTGTCAATAAAACTCAGTGGGCATCCATTTGGGATAAAGGCTTTTTTCAGAAGATCTGATTCTTATGTTGTATCAGGGCTACAGATAGTGTTACGTAAGACAAACGATCTCTACCATTTACTGTATTGCCGACAAAACTTTGTTGAGACACTTGATATCATGAAACGTTATAAAGGCACGAAAAAGATGATTATTCTTGAAAATTTTACCAGTTCTCCATTATGGATAAGATTTTATTTTGATGAAATCATACAGTGTCACACAGTAATATTTACTGATGACGATTCGAGCACAAATTATTGCCCACAATCATTTCAGGCCACTTACACAACTTTCTTGCTTCGTTTATATACGTGAGTAAAATTGATTAGACATTTGAATAAAATCACTATTAGATAATATACATTCAGAAATAATAATATGAGTGTTATTGATCAATTACAGTTAGATGGGAAATTAGACGAGAGTTTTTAAAGTCAAAATAAGTAACTTGTTATCTGGCCACCAATGCATCAGAATTTGTCCTTGAGTGTGTTATTACTATACGGCTTCAACAACACATTCCGCTTTATTCTATTCTCTCTCTCTGTAGCTGGACCCACAACTGCCTACACTCTCTCATCACCTCCTCGTCACACAGTTTCCTCATAGTCAACCTTTCATTGACGACCCACTCATCGCTTCCCACTGAAATTCCACTTGAGAGAGGGCATGCCGCGAGATATCATTCCATGGCTTCCTCCGTGGAGTATGCCCAATCCATCTCCTTTTCCTCCAACATATTTATTGAGTGATTGGTTTTTAGTTGGTTTGTCCCCAGTCAGAGTTTCTTGTTGTTAACTGTTTCTGGCTAGGTGGCCATTTGATCTTCAGAATAGAGCCAGTGAAGTTGGCAGCTGTTGATAGAAGTCTGTAGTTGCCACTTGGAAATCCTTTTCAAGACACGCAGTACACGTTTTCGACCCATATAGAAGAATTGCCTGATTAACTTCAGAAAATCAGAATCTTGTTCTTGATGCTGGCTGAGTGCAGAGGATTTCCAAACCGTTTTCAGACTGATGAAGTCATATCTTGCCTTTTCGATTCTATCTGGTTTAGACGTCTTCATGCGTTCGACCTGTAGCTATTAAACAATGCTTCCTTGATAAGTGAAGGCAGGAGGTAACCTCTAACAAATCTCTCCCGTTGATGGTAACTGGTACTGGTTTTTGTATCTGCTGTTGTTGGTTGGTTATCGTCATCACCTCCGTCTTCTCACTGTCCACCTGGAGTTCATAACTACTAAATATAATTACCACTACAAGCAATTCAGTATTTTCCACTTGCTAGTGAGCACATTTGAAGATACGTTATTAAACTGTCAATGGTTAATTCCAGTTAGAAAATTTAAAAACAGAGGTCAAAACTTGCTGACTGACGGTAGAACAATTGAACTTTATTAATTGTCAGACATATTTGAAAGCATGTGAAACTAAAATCTGTGCTTAACTTTACTTCAGTGGCATAGCTGTGTATATCAGAGAAGTATGACATTTCTTAGGGTTGATGTAAAGTGGTTTAAGCTAACTGATGAGAAGGTCTCGTTATCTTCGGTACCAGTCAGTAAAATATATTCAGGAAAATGATATATTCGCCCTAATCTGAGACTCATCGGCAGAACCCAACCATTGGATTTTGAAACCAGGATCTCCCAGTTACAACTCAAGCTCGTAGACCAATCAGACACTGGGACCCAACTATGTGGCGTAAAAATTATAACTTTTACCAGTTCGTGATTTTACCAGGATCAGCACACCCTGGTTTTCAGTGGTTCTCTGACTAATATAAATCCGTGATCAAACTGAAAACAAATGCAATCCTTTCAAACAAATTCTTTCAAATCTCCCTTGAGACCAAACAACGCATTCAATACTGTTCAACAAAGGGGAGGTCGTGAAGAGCTCAACGATTACGTACATAAAATATAGGTATGTATCTCCTAAGAGACAACATTTCCTGAGAAGCTGCAAATATCCCTTGCTAGTGAATTCGAAAATCTACAGAACTTTGGCCTGGGACTTCCTATCAGTTATATGAAATCAATTAAAAGTGCCTCATTCAAGATTAATACGATTCGGTGCACTTTTCACGTAAGATTGTTTTCACGTGATCTGTACTTTTACCATCTATTTTGAAATCAGTCACGAATAAAACTTACACAGGAGTTGCAAAAAATGAAAATACACACACATCCTTCACTGGCTTACAAATTATGCATGCCTCGATATTAAAAGCTTTCTTTTTATAATTGTAAACATTTGAAACACAGTCATAAGACAAGAACTGATTTCCCTGGTGTGTTTTTCCCGTTTTTTGCTGTAATAGATGAACCTCCAATGGATTCCATTAGTCTATATAATCCACCTCGAATTGTGCCACGCGAATTTTGGAATAAGCCTATGGATGTGAGAAGATTTTTTAAAAGGGATCAACAACCAGCTTCAGGTAATTATATTAACATAGGATACTACTTTAATCATTTGTAAGTAGTTAAAATAGAATGCAAAACATTTTCAGGTATTGATAGTGTTTGTGTATTTAGAATCAACACCAAATTCGTGAATTTATAGTAAAAAGCAAGATTCATTTCCTGCTCATATTTTAAAAGCTCAATATCATTAACCCAACTGCAATCACCCTTATTGTTAACTTATTAATGAAGTCTTGATTTCACTCCTGTCAGGCTAAATAAGCTAACAGATATTAATTAATTAATTTATTTTTTAATTCTGTTTCTTTGCATTCCAAGTGGAACCTTTGGGCTTCAAGCTTGGTCTTTGAAGTTTCCGTAGCAGTCTTATTGATTTAATTTTATGGAGTTTGGATCTCATCCAATCTTCCCTTTTTGACCAAGGTTACTATGGGCTAGAGGACGTTAGGGTGTGCATCAGCCAGCAACTGAACCCCGAGCCACGTACGTGATTGACGAGCACTCTTCTGCTGAACTGCCAACACAAATAACAACATCACGAGCAGGATATGAACCTGTTTGGGGAAATCCTAGTGTATTTCAAGTCCAGAGAATTAACCAGGATCAGTTACCTTTCGAGACATGTCTTTACTGACACAGTCAGAGATGTAACATGAGCAGTAAATTGTTGTCGAAACGATATTGGTAAGTAATACTGTATAAAAGTGTTGAGACTTTATCAAAAAAATTTTCTCCTTGATGTAACTGTACTAAACGCATTATGTGTGCATCCATGGTTCAGTAGTGGAATACTCACCAACCGCTCTTTATGATCTGGTAGTCGATCGCCGATCAACGCACTTCCTAACCTCTCTGAGCCATCAGTAAGCCCGATAAAGAGGATAGGTTGGACATCAGAAAACTTCAAGGCTCATGCTTAAAGCCCTATGTTCCACTAACAACCCAAAAGGAGTAAATACAAGCAGGCTTGTCCATGCTTAATGAAGATGATTTCATCTGTTGGATATGATATTTCTTAGCTAAATTTTGCATAATTTTCTCACTGATTATTGTGCTTTTTCGTTTTTCTTTTTCTTGTTGTTGTTCTTGTTTTCGTTGGTTTCAATTTTAGCAGTAAAACGACCCCAACAGTCAGACAACTACTATTATGATCTCTATAGACAATCTATGCTGCCAACAAACGAATTCATTGGTTGAAAACGCTATTCACATCCGGTAGAGTAGAATGACGAGAGAAAACACAAGAAAGACTTCTTTTTGCGCGTTTATGTGTGTTTATGTGTGAATGTTTATACAAGTGGACATCAACTGATCCGTCATATATTCTCTCTTCTTTTTTCTCTTCTGTCTTTGTCTGACTCTCAAGAATTATACAATATTTACCTACATATCTTCATTCAATTGGAAAACAATACAAGTGAAATAAATTTATATTGCTGAGTTTGTCTTTTTTTTCAAGTTTTCTTCAAATTTCTTGTCTTCAAGAATGACCTATTTTTTTGCCATCTGTGAATTAGTTTTTGGCCATATATTTTTAGATATTTTTTAACTGTTCCTTTAGGTCGTGAGTAGGAACATAGGGCTAGAAGAGGACATTGCTATTTCATCCATTTCTCTGCCATCCTTTTCAGCTGATTCTAGCATTGCTCATAAGCTTTCATTCTTACAATCTCCTTCATGTTAACCTCGGACCCATGCCTAACTCGTCGTTTCCCATTCGAGTTCCAGTCGAGGGACTGCCTGGTACATGATGTCACTGAATGACCTCCACAGCATATATCCGACCCGTCTCTACTTACTGTGGCATGTGCTTTTGAGCAATAGGTTGCGAATCCCTTGATATGTGGCTTCCTCATATAGTTGGTGAAGGTTTGGGATACTCTGTAGTGTTGAATCAGTTACCAAATTACTTCACAGCCAATGCATCATTCGATGCAAACTCCTTCGCCAACATTTGATGTGCCCTGATAACATTCAGTCCCAATTAAATAACATATTATATTGCAAGATTGACAGGGTAGCGACGGAGAGCCCAGTGGGTTCCATGTTTTGGCAGATGACAACTTCATAGTATGTGATGACTTACCTCACACATTACATCTATTAGAGAACTACAATTCCAACACCATAAAATGCAGGACAAATGATACATTGCAAAGATCCATCCACTGACAAGGAACATGGAGTAGAATTTACATTTTGTGTTGATTAATTACAAGTGGCCTTTGGTCAAAGCATTTTTTCACAAGACGGAAATGATGTATTTCCGTGAGAGACATTGGAGGAAGGGCTAAGGATTATAAAAAAGTCTACAAGACCTCGAATGTCCTCAAAGTTTTATCGAAAGAAGAATGAAATTATAGAAAATATGACAATAAGCCTGTATTTATCCGTCTCAAAACTAAATTTTGAAAAATTGTAGGGATTACCAACAGACGACTTAAGAAATCACTAGCTAGGATATTCCCTGCGGCTAGATCCATTCCGTTGTACCAAGTAGTTTGGTCTTAAGTTCTGTCAAAAATTGACAGTTACACTAATCCCTTTGTTAGCTCCAACTGTGTGTATCAATTTACATGTAGTTACCGATGCAGATATACTGGAAGAACAGAAACGAGGGTATATCTTAGATTTTCTGAACACATAGTGAGAACGCTTCTCAGACGATTTCAGAGATTTCCAAATTCCCATTTATGCATTTTAGAAAAACAAGACAACAGACTGAGCGAAGAAATATGCATTCCTTTTCAATTAGTTCCTCATCATCGGCTTGCTCTACACTAATACATACTTTTTACATCGAAATTTTTACCAGTCAAGTTGTGTTATTTTAGTTAGTCAATTTTAAGTATAGGCGAGGGGTGAAATCAAGAGGTTAAAGGTCATCAAAACAATTAACTAGTAGATGTTAGTAACAAGATATCTAAGTTTCGAAGGAAGGGGGTGAGAATTAATTGTGGAATTCAAGGTAAGTTGATTCTTAGGCGTTAGCAACGAGTTATTACATAATCAAGAAATTCGTAAAGTAGCAATGATGACTAAGAAGAATAGAATGACCCAAAAGAGCTACGCAAAATACAAACAAGTTAATAGAATTAGCTAGAATTGTAAAAATTGTAAAAATCAACAAAGTCGAAGGATAGTCACAAGGGGAGGGAAAACAATCGTTTTTAAAAAATTAATACCTATTGTGTAGTTGGCCGTGGCAAAGAAAGGGGCTGTACAAATCTCCTTTGTACGCAACACAGATTTGGCTTGTTCCGATGGGTTCCGATTGCCTCTACTGGATATGCGTAAATGTCGCACTCGTAGACCATGCAAGAGGCATGGTGACATATGATAAATACCTTTAAGAGCTTTGTTAGAATTGATTAGATGTCCAGTATCAACGAGGTGAACTAGCATTGAGCTGAGTATAGCTTTATTTGAAACTTTGCTAAACCGAGGTGGGAGGTGTTCAAAAATCCGACGATGAAACTACCTGATCGTATGCCCTAAGTAACTAGCTCCGCACGGGTAGTTAAGCTGGCAAATACACATAGAAGAGGCGAAACAGGGCAATACGTCTTTATTTCTTGAACTAATTATTGGTTGACTAGTGGATATTTAGCATAGCCTAGCTGCGTTGAAAGTCGTTTTGAAGGCCCTTAACAGACGTTGTGATAAGACCCCGTTATTGACATCAGCCGTGAATTGTAATCTTAAGAAGACTGATTTTTGGGGAACAGTCGGTACCTCCGACGTTTTACTTTCTGAGTTCATGTGTTTCCTCACGAATTTAATTGGATATCTGTTTCTACTTAGCAGATGGCAAATATTACCGAATTGTTCGTTCAGTGTCTTATCTGAACAGATAACTCCAACTAGGTGAACTAGACATCTAACCGGATTACGTTTGTATTGTAGAGGTACGAAGCCCAGGAAGTGTGTTGTCCATTGGAAGCAGCTTTTCTATACAAACGTATACATATTGTTCCGTTCGTTCGTTTAGTCATTAGGAGGTCCAAAAGGGGATAAGTCATTTTCTTCTTCTTCCTTATTGAAGCTTATGCCAGGATGTGCTCTACTGAATTTATCCAATATATCCGTAGTCTCACTTTCTTTCTTAACAACTATAAACGTATCATCAACATATAGACAATAGAAATCAAGATTATATATTACATCTATAAGAGGACCATTCTGTAGTTTCTCCAGTAAAAAATCTGCTAGGCTTGGGCCTAGTGGCGATTCCATGGCAATACCATCTGATTGTCTATGCATTTCTTTATTGAAAACGAAGTTTACTTTCATTGTACACCTTAAAAGAAATTCCCTTAGGGAACACACGGGAATTCCAATCTCTATACCTTGCATTATCAATTCATTACCTATGCAATCAATTGATTCCATGAGAGGCATATTGGTGAATAAGAAAAATGCATCCAGTGATATCATGTATTTGTCCTTCACATTTAATCCCTTGATTCTTTCTACAAACTCAAAATTGTTTTCATGTAATTTTTTTACAATGGCTGTAAAAGTTCCACCAGCCATTTTGCAGTTGAATGGTATGGTGAGATAGACATATTGAGGACTGGTCTAAGTGGCAAGCCGATTTTATAAGTCTTTGGTAAGCCGTACAACCTGGCTATCACAGTGTCTACAGATTTTAGTGTTTCATACAAGGCAGATGGAATATGACCTTACTATTTCAACTTTTTTAAAGCCTCTGTCAACTGTCTTTCATTCCCCTCCGTTGTATCTTTGTTAGTTGTTAGTTTCTGAAATTTGTATGCATCACTTAATGAAGTCTCCATTTTGCTAAGGTAATCAGACTTATCCATGATAACGACTCCCGAGCATTTGTCAGGTCTGCAGATCAATATATTCTCATTTGCTTTCAATTTCTTTAAGACCTCTTGATGTCTTTTGGTTAAAATACCCTTTGTATTACCCCTACTATTCATGTATTTGTAACAACAGTCAACCAAAATTGCCTTAAATCTGTTAACCTCCTCGTCTGATGAAGCCACTAAGTCCTCACTGTGAGCATAAAGGTTTTCAAATTGAGCTTGTATGTACATTTTATTGACTTTTACATTACTATCACATAATTTAAAACCGACAAATAAGACTTCTGAATCCATCATATCAAGGACCACACTAGAAAATTTGCAGACATATCGTTCTGTATTGGGTGGAAAATGTGCTTCTGGCGTCTGATTGTTGAGGCTTAGAATAAGCTGGGTTCGTTTCTTTTCCTTTCTTCTGTTAACAACATCGTTCACATGCTGCTAGAATGGCTGCTTCAAATCGTCCGGAAGTTCTTCTACGGTGTATAATCTCTCTGCAATATTCTTTGTCGACTTAGTAACACACGAATTCAAAAAGTCAGTCTGATTGAGAGCATGACACTTAAGTGTCCTTGCGTTTGGACATACTCGAGAACGATGTAACGATTTCCAGTAAGCCTTGGGGTAGCGGACTATTTCGATACATTCATGGATAAAATCTATAGACGTCTTCGCTTCACTGAGCCTTGCACTATACTTCAGACACTCATGGTCTTCAGATACCTGCACCCTACACCTAAAACTGATTAACTAAAATAACACAACTTGACTGGTAAAAATTTTGATGTAAAAACTATGTATCAGTGTAGAGCCAGCGGATGATGAGGAACTAATTGAAAAGGAGTGCATATTTCTTTGCTCAATCTGTTGTTTTGTTTTTCTAAAATGCAAAAATGGGAATTTGAAGATCGCTGAAATCGTCTGCGAAATGTTCTCACTATTTGTTCAGAAATTCTAAAATATACTCTCGTTTCTCTACTTCCAGTTAATCTGCGTCGTTATCTACGTGTGTAACGACAGAAGACAAAGGCCAGGCAACAGATCGTTTATCGAGAAAATCAAGAGGTATTTATAGATTTTTATGTGCAGTATTATTATTAGCGTTATTGTTAGCAGAGGAACGACGATTTCTGATTAGTTGTTTTCTTGCTGAAAGTTATTCTGTTATTTGTTTGTGGATGTTTCTCAGAAAATCAAGTCATATATCTGTGAATCATATTCCCACACTTCAACTCCACTGTGATTGTCAGGTGATTTTCTCAAGGTAAAGCTTTGTTATTGTTTATCTCATGACTCTAATTCGGGACGTGAACATGGGCGTAAATTGTTGTCTACAATTTTGGCTTGCAGACAGCTCTCACCACGCCTGTAAATTGATGCACAGAGTTGGAGCTAACAAATGGATTAGGGTATCTGTGCAAGGACCTAGTGACGGTAAGAAGCTGGAAGGTTTCCTGTGTTACTCCATCAAGCTTGTGTTAGCGAAGGCAAATACTGATTTCCTAGGAGACTGTATAGATCGATATGAGTATCCAAAGATGTATTGGGAGTCACTCAGACACAACCACATCCAACCGAATACTAGAACAGTCAGATGATACACACGAAACAACATCGACTCCATTCAATAATGAGTTCTCGAGCTAGAACGAAATGTCGACTCAAGAGGTCATACAGTCGAAGACTTAGATCGAGAACTACGCCATTCTTTCGAAGTATATGTACAGCAAGTCACTCAGAAAGAATGCAACAAGACTAAAGCAGATCTTCTCAAAAGCCCAAAGCCTACAATTAATACCGAATCTCCGGCTCCAAGAAATCCAGAAAAGTACGTATTCAATCTCTCAATTATCACACTGTCTACTATTCAACTAGAGGCACTATCTTTAGGTCCAAAATTCTGCGTAAAACCACCAAGTGTTGACAAGCTACAATGCCAGTTTCAGTTTGAAAATCTGATAAACCAAACTTACGATCTCACACCTACATCAGGTGAAAACCTACAATAATTCGAAGCACTAATCTTCGAATGTTGTCACAAGTTTATCAGTACCAAACCCAACGAAAGGGCCATTTTAACGAAGAGGCATTATAAGGAGCTGAAAGAACTTATGAAAAAAGGAGAGATTATTGTATTACGTCCTGATAAAGGTGGAGGAATCGTAATCATGAATCGCAAGGACTATATCAGTAAAATACTGACTATACTATCCCACGAATGCAAATTCACAAAACCGATCAACGAGAAAAACATGACTGAACAGACCGAACAAAAGCTAAAGACTGAATCTTTCATCAGTAACGAAACTTTCGAATCCCTAAGACCATCAGGCTCAAATATACCACGACCTTACGGACTCCCGAAAGTACGCAAAAAATTTTGATAAAATTAAAACAGTTAGTCCTTTAGATAAATTTGAATTAGGCATTTAGAAGACAAATTTCTTAGTTTCGTTACAACCGCTTTACAACTAACATTATCCTTTATCGTTTTACAAATCACTAAGTCGGAATAAGTCAAACTCTTCACTCTCCAACCTTCAGCATCTTGCTGAATTAGAAATTGATGAAATTAATGACAAACTTTCATAATTTATTGAAACACACCAAAGACTAATTCCCGTTATGGATAATTTATCTTTAGTATGTCGAATTAAATTCACTGTTTTTTGCAATGAAATGATAAAAAAAGACCATAAATTCCATGGAACAAAAATTAACGAAATCTTTGAAAGACACGTATCAGATTTTGGAAGTTCCTCAAGATATCCACAAGCATATAACTAATTTATCTACCTGCACTCTATCCTAAATACAGTTGGAAGCATTATCGTGTGGATTGAAATACAAAACTATCCCTGTGAAAATAAACAAAATGGAAGTCCAGTCACAATATGAAAACCTCTATGATCAAATCTCTGATCTAACTCCTTCTAGTAAAGATAATCTGGACTGGTTTAAAGTTAAACTGGTGGACATTTCTCCCCAATTTCTAAATGCCAGAATACACCAGAAAGGTGGTTCATCAAAAGAACATCAAAAGACATTCTTATTATCCTTAAGCCTGATAAGGGAGAAGGCGTCGTCATCATGAATAAATTGGACTATCAAAATAAAACGAATGATATCCTCAAAGATCAGTCTAAATTTCTGGTGGACAGTGCTACTGATAATGTACTGCTTGTGGAAAAGCAGATCAGTCGTCAGTTTCAGATTTTACTGATGCACGGTTTTATAAATGGAAAACTTTATAAACAACTTAAAGCTATTGGGTCCCCGAAAGTATACATGAAGGGTACCCCTCTTCGACCGATCCTCAACCTTACCAATTCGCCTTATCACTTACAGCCCAATGACTAGCAAACCTACTAGAACCAATCAGAGTACAAGTTTCCAGCCACACAGTTCGAGATTCATTCGACTTTATCGAATCAATCGAAAATCTCAGTGTATCCAACAAGACCATGATTTCATTAGATGTCACGTCATTGTTCACAAACGTCCCACTGACTGAAACAATATGCTACATATGCGAACTTATTCACTCAAAAGGAATAAATATCGGTATACCCACTGAGCGTCTTAAAGAACTCCTACTGAGGTGTATCTTGAATGCTCAATTCACTTTTAACAACGAAATATATCGGCAAAAAGATGGTATAGCTATGGACTCACCACTAGGCCCATTGCTTGCAGATTTCTTGATGGCAAAACTCGAAAACACATGCCTGAGGAAAATGATCGATACCTTCGAATTCTACAAGAGATACGTTGACGACACTTTCATTATCGTCAACAATGAAGAAAATCTAGACAGCGTCTTAAACTCCTTTAACAACTGTCACCCTGCGATTCAGTTCACACTAGAGAAAGAGTCTAACTCCAAAAATATCCTTTCTTGACGTCCAACTAACAAGACGAGGACAGGATGGAACATTGAAAAGATCTATCTACAGCAAGTCGACGTTGAATTGGGACAGCTTACTAACTTTCACAGTTGGGTGCCTCTATACACCAAACAAAACATGATTCGTTCCCTCAACTACAGAGTTCACAGAATTTGCACCCAGGATACCATAGAAGTAGAACTGGACAATCTCAGGAGAATCCTCGTCGAGAATGGTTATCCAGAACGATTTATTTTTTAATTTTATTTTAGTTCCTAACCCATTGACGCATCAAGTATTTAATAATTCCCATTGTAGCATTAAAACACAACTAACTAATTTTTACAGTTGGGTGCCTATTTCCAGGAAAAGGAACTTAATTCATTCGCTCTGCTCTAGGATAAGGAAAATTTGTAGTTCTGATTCCGTTGACTCGGAACTTGACTTCTTAAAAGCCACTCTCGCAGAAAACGGTTACCCTAACCGATTTATTGACAGCAACATGAAAGATAAGCAGTCTAAACTGGTCACCGACACAGTTCCAAAGAAAACCTTATTCATGAACTTGGAATTCAAAGGTGATCAAGCTTCAGATATGCTCAAAAATCGTCTCTCTAAATCAGTCGTTCTATGCAGCAAAATTACATATGACGTTCACTAGCCGCAAGTTGTTCTCTACCTCTGTAAAAGATAAGCTCCCCCGTCTGGCCGCCTCCATGTGCATCTATCAGTTCACCTGCTCTTGTGGAGCAAGGTACATTGGCCGTAGTCAGAGGACGCTTTCCACACGGATACGAGAACATATTCCAGCATGGTTTTACAAGGGAGAAAGTGTGTGCGAAGCTCTATTTTGGAACACCTGATCGACTTCTGTCACTCTGTCAACCCTGACCATGATTTTAAGATCATATATAGAATCCATGCTAATTCCGCGTTTCTTCGTTACAGACTTCTAAAGACAGCTGAGGCCTTGGCAATTCATGACTTTAAGCCAGCCAGACCTTTGTGTACAAAAGAAGTATGTACAATCCCTACTTCTGCCTTGGCCGTAGAGGGATAGACATTTATTTATTTTGTTTATTTAGTTATTCTATGTACTTTTCCCTTATTACTACGATTATTATTATCATTATTATTATTACTATTCTCACTCTGAATCTTTTCCACTTGACCCACTTGACATTTTAAACCCAAAATTATTAATTTTTATATTTTTATTTTTACAATATTGAATTCTATCTTATCAAATTTCACACCATGTTATGTAACATTTTATATTCGTCTACTGATCTTATAATTATGTACCCCTTTCCAAAATCTATACACTTTATGTATTATTCTATATACGACATTAATTATTTTGCCACTTGACATTAAACTATGATTATAATCACAAATATTTTAATTGCATTTCATACTATTATTATTTCATGTATTCACACCTTTGACCTAATTCCCTCACCGGATATAATTTCTTAAAAAAACCATATATATACGATTGTACAGCTTGATAATTAATTCGTTGAAAAGAGTCTCTTCGCATCAAGTATTACAGAATCTTTATCTAAAACTTTCAACTTTAATGACACATTTTAAGAAACATTCCTTTCATTGCTATGACAATTTACTGTACATGCGTGATTGTACATGCGCCTTGAGAATGCTATCGCTGAACACCTCTTCTCACACACTGATGACAATAATACGCTCGCATATTCAGAGGCTTTAGCAACAGGCATGTGTCAACCAAAAGCACAAAAGAAGTGCAAAAATTAAATAAATAAATAAATTCTGCTTGTATTTGTTCAATATATATATCCAAGGAAAACAAAATAAAACTAAGGCCAAATACAAATGAATAAACAAACAAACAAACAATAAAGGGAATTTGATTTCAAAAAATCAAATGACGTCTACGATTCAACTCAAAAATAGTTCTTAAACAATCTTTTGTAATCCATTTCATCTCATCAATATCCAGAGCACAGGTTACATGAAAATATAAGTGGGATGAAACTCTGATTTTAGCATTATTACGTAATTCAGTTAGGCAGGATTTAATCTCTTCAATCAACACTGTCCAATCTAGAAAAGGAATGAGAAAATAGACAGGATTGAATTGATTTATTAAACTAATCAATTGGGTTAATTTATTTCAAAGATATATATGAAGTTAAAATATGTATTTAGAATTTAATTGGTGGATGGTGACTAGCAGTGGAATCCAGGATAACGCGCATTTCGTCCTATCTGGGACTCGTCAACTGGATCGTCGAACCCAGTGCCCACAGTTTCAAACGCCAAAGCGTTATCCACTAGACTACTTGGACCACAAGAGCTATCTCTTGTGCAATGGGTCATACTAATTATTTAATTCAATTGGTTGGACCGAAGTGCAGGCACATCCATCTGACGAGTCCCAAATAGGACGAAATGCGCGTTATCCTGGATTCCACTGCTAGTCACCATCCACCAATTAACTTCTAATTACATGCCCAGCGATCATCGAAGCATCTGCACAAGAAGTTGACATGTCAACCTGAGACCGAGCACTTCGGTCCAATCAATCGACGGGAAAATCTAAAATTAAATTAAATTAAAATATGTATGTTTGGTTTAAAAACCCAGCAGCTGTTTTATTTTTGCAAAACGTGAATAGTTACCAATATATACAAGAAACCGACGCATTCAACCAAATATTTGAATTTCCAATCTGAACATCCAATAAGAATGAAAGTCTCTGTTGCTTTAAATCTCATGAATAGATATAGAAGCATTATGATCAAAAACGATGATACGGAGAACAAGATCTCCAATAAAAGACAAATTTTGATTGGAAATGGTTATCCGAAAAAGCTGCTAGATAATATTATCAATAGAAATGGCGAGAGGGGAAAGAAAACTGAAAAATCTTGGTTATCGACGATAGCCACTCCGTATCAAAAGGATACAGCTGGACAACTTAAAAGAGTACTCACTTCACATAATATTAAGGTCTATTTCAAGCCCTCTAATTCTCCAGAGAAAGCTTTGGTGAATATCAAAGATATGCTCCCAAAAATGACACAAAACAACTTAACTGTAGGATAAAGTAGACAGGTGAAGGTCACAGTAAACGAACATAGACTGTGCACGAGACGTCCACCTAGAAATGAAGTACAATTAAAATGCCTAAAAAAAGATCAGCTATAGCAATGCATGCTCTCTGAGGACACCGGACATAAGATTGATTTCGACAATGTCGAAATTCTAGGAAGAGGCTTTCATTCAACACATAATGAAAGGCTGATCTGTGAAGCCTTGCATATTTTAGCCACATCGAATGCAGTAAATAGGAAAGAAGTAATAGAGTTACCACCAATGTGGCAGACTCTAAAGAAGCAGAACAGATGACGGGAAAAATCAATCCTATATTATTATTTCATTTAATTCCTAGAGGAACATAGGGTTTCAGCCACGCGTCTCCATTGCGTTCGGTTCTCTGCTAGAGTCTTCAACTGGCTCCAAGTCTGCCCACACGTTTTCATCTCCTCTTCACATGACCTCCTCCAAGTCACCCTTGCACTGACGACCAACTCGCCGCTTCCTTTTCGGGTTCCACTCGAGCGATGGCTTGTCTAGTGATGTCACTTGATGGTTTCCTCAGAGTATGGCCAATCCATCTCCATTTCTTCCTGCCTATTTGTTTCACAATCGGTTCCTGGTTGGTTCGCTCCCAGAGATCCCTGTTGCTGATCTTTCCTGGCCGGCCATCTGATCTTGAGTGGTATTGAGCGAAGACAACTGTTAATGAAGGTGTGTAGTTTGTTTGAGATGGTCTTTATGACGCGCAGTGCAAGTCTCTGATCCGTATAGTGAGTAGCACTGACTTCCCTTTGGAGTTGAAAATCCGGATCTTACTTTTGATGCTTAGTGCTGTTGACCTACAAACAGCCTTGAGAGTAATGAAAGCTTGCCTTACTTTCCCGATTCTTGCTTTGATATCCTCGTCAGTTAAGTCCGCCTGTAGTTGAAATGATGCTTCCCAGGTAGGTAAAGGAGGTTGTTTCTTTCAGGTTCCTCTCATTTATGCTGCTTTTGTCTGTTGTTGTTGCTGCTGTTGCTGCTGGCCAGGAATCTTCATCACCTCTGTTTTCTCTATGTTCATCTGAAGTCCTATCTTTTATGCTTCTTCTGTCAACTTGTTGCTTTTCGCTTGCATATCTTCCAGTTTGTGGGAAATCAGACATATATCATCGGCGAAGTCCAGATCCTCCAAGTTTTTCGTTAGGGTCCAATCCTATTTTATGACCACTGTGAAATATTACCATGTTTTGACGTATTTTACCCAGAACAAATAACATACACACACTCATGCAGACAAATGTGCATATGAGACGATTTGACATTAGTCATTATAAATATGTAATGCGCGTTTACATTTTTCTGTTGGTACAAATATCTACTGATAAGTGACCTTCAAAGAGACTCACTTCAGTTTATGTAATTTTTGACTGTATATTTTGATGGTTAGTAAAGTTAGAATTATTCTGTTGAAGAAGTGAAACATTCAGAAAAAAATTTTTTTAAAGTTTTTCTTAATCACACTAGGATTACTTAAAGTAATTTATAGGAAATAGTTACTGCTTGTTTTGGGTCCATTTTTTAAATTCCAGTTGATCGAGTATATTAAAGCGAAATTCTCGCTTACTGATGACTCATGGGGTCCTGGTACGGAAGCTTAGACAGTTCCCGAAGTTTAACGTAATTCAGTTGATGATGAATAGCAGAGGAAGCCGGGATATATGTTTCGTCCTATATGATACTCGTTACAGGGAATACTTACACTTCCAGTGAGTGACAAAGCATTAGAGACCGAACATTTTGGTCCAGAACATTCTAAAAATTAACAAAAACTTATATCGGTTGTACAGATGATGGCTGTTGTGGCTCAATGTCTTAGTGGATAACGTTATAGAGTTTTATAGGATGACTGAAGGGTTCAAGTTTCAGTGGGAAAATCATCACTGACTCACTGGGGATTGCAGGTAGATCCAGTTGACAAGCCCCAAATAGTGTCGAATCGTAACATATGCTTCAATAATAGCAACTTTTAACTGGTAGATACTACTAATATTTACTAGGTGTCAGAGTGGTGTGATCTAAAGACTGGTCACGAACTGTTTTCAGCAGGAGGAAGCCGTTTCGTCTATGCTCGGGATTCTTCATCAGTACGCACACATGATTCCACCCATTTGCAATTGAACCCAGGACCTTCAGGTTAAAGATGAGCTCATATATCATTAGGCAGGTCGTGTCATTAGTACACAAGCAGTTAAATAAGACCAAGACCATTCATAAACTGAATATCGTCGGTTTGATTACTGACAGGGTCATAGGTGCCCACTGATGAAAACTTGCATACAAGGACAAAACAGATATCTAGTACCCGCTGGTTTACAACGATTCTCTAAGTGATGGTGAATGGTGACAAAATCTAAGATTCCAATCCGTGAAAGTATTATTTTTCATTCAGATATATTACTGGTCTCCATGCAGAACGACTAAAGGATTGACTTGTCACCAGTGGACAGTCTTGCAGACTCAGAGTATGCGAATGATATCGTCCTCTATGGTGAAGATGTTGATGCAATGCAGAGTCTTGTGAACAACTTGAGCTGGAATCTTCTAATGCCTGGCATGCGTTTCGCTACTATGAAATGTAAAATTATACTGGAGAACTGGACTACATCGACTCTTAGGTTAAACACAGGGATTGATGTGGTTGAAGGTGTTGACTACTTAATGGAATGATTGCTGACGAAATCTCAAAGCAGATACAAAGGGCTCGTGTGGTATTTGCCAACTTACTTAATCTCTGGGATAGAAATGATATCTGGTTATCGATCAGGGGACGTTTGTAGAGCTGTGTAGTGCAGCTCTGTCCTCCTTTATGTTTGTGTGATGTGGCTATTGATAGTGGAAGCTAAGAAAAGGCTGGTTGCCTTTGACTACAGATGTTTGCTTTCTGTCACCCATTTTAAGTTACATAGTATGGTAAGTAATATTGAGGTTAGGTGCAGAATGCTAGGTAAGGAGGGTAAGTCAATCTACAAGGTTCTGAAGATGAATCGACAAGTGTCACTCATGCACAGCCACCATCTTTATCGACTAGCAGTATTAGCTGACTTAGGGTTGTGTTGTGCCTAAACACGACATCGATGTGTGAAGCCCAAAGCACACAGACTGAGCCACTCGGGGAGATTTGTATTGCCTGGTTGGATACCTCAGGATGCTTTCAATCAATGGCTAGGGACTATTGGAAATATAGCTTTATTTATCCGAATGAGCTGTTAGTTTAAATAAGCTAAAATTACTATTAGTATCATTTCTTCAATGTAAACTATTATCATTTCAGTATACTACTCATTACGTGAGGACAGTAGTAAACATCAAACGAGATGAATTTTATTTCCAAGTATTGGCTTTGTAGGGATTTTTATTTGATTGGTTGAAGGATTTCATAATGAGCTGACATCACTTAGAGAACTATCGGAAAACCAACTGGGAGTACTGGATAGATGTTTCGTCCTAGTTTGGGACTCTTCACAGTACTTACCCACCGGGGATCGAACTGATGAGCTTCTCGTTACAAGGTGAGCTCGTAGACCATTAAGCCACTGGGACCCGATCCAATGGTTCCAAAAGTTCTCTAACTGATGTCAGCTCATAATGATATCCACCAACCAAATAAATTCCGATCACTTTTCAAGGTGTTACTAAAGAAGTCGTTATAGTTACATTTTAACTATTTAATGTTATTGATAGTTCATAGATAATTGATAGAAAAAATCCTAAAATATGGGACAGACTTATATACCCACATTTGTAAGTAGTATATTTAGCGACACCAGACTCATTTGACGGTGACGGGTCGTTTAAGCTTTTTGCATGCCAATAATTAAATTTGTCTGTGAACACACTTGATTTACGTGTGTTTGAGCATGCAAATATAGAGCTAAATGAGGACTTATAGACATACAAAAACAGACAAATACCCTGGTAAGTCAACTTTACCACTTATCATAAAAACAATGATAACTATCCCTTGGGTGCGGGGGGAGAGAATAATACCGTTATTAATTATTCACTACATTTGCCATCAGAGTAGATACGATCGAACAGAAAGATGTACATAATTCATAAGGTCTACTTAAACAAGAAAAAAGGCGCTTGATTTGTCAACGCTTACAGCAGAGAAAATCTAAAAGCTTATTATATTATTATTACTATCTTGTTAGGTGCCATTTTGTAGTCATTGCAACACAGTGAGAGAGACATAGAGCAAAGATTGAAATGTGTTTTCTGAAAAATGCAAAACATGAAAAAGTAGCTAACGCGAATTTCTGCAAGTTATACACAGTTTATATTTTGTGTCCTCAATAATTTCACTTCCCTTGACTGAAGAGTTTTCCTTAGATGGATGCTGCTTAAACAGTCTTTTAAGCAAATGTATGGAAAATAGGCAGAATAAAAGAATCAATAAACTTAGAAGGTAGAAACTGATCGATAGCAGATCGTCTTAAGTTCCCTACCTAGAACGTTAAATGAGATATCTTTCTAGACAGTAACATGATGTGGGAAGACCAGCAAACACCAGAAGAAATGCACAGTCCAAGGCATTTAGCATTCGACCTAGTTTCAGCTTCATTGTCACCTATGCTAGTAGAATCATGAGAACGAGCTAACTCATATAAGTCGCGCTTCCATCTGAAAGTGAAGTGAATGATCTGACGTTTTAAGGGATTTACCTTAAGAATATTTGATAAAGAGCACTGCCTGACTAATTTCTGATACAACATTATTCATTTTGGAATAATCTAACTGAGAAGTAACCGGTATGGAAACAGTCAGATCATAGGTAAACTTAACAAAATTGACGTCATCAGAATGGGGGAAGTAATGTAGAAAGAAAGAAAACAGAAAAGGAGAAAGAACATCACCTTGAAGAACACTAGCCAGAGTAAGTGAAGCAGTCAAGAACTTCCCGTTACACACAGTGTACTGCTTCCTATCAGAAAAGTAAGAATGCAACCACTTGTTGGTCCACCACCGTGTCTGTGGATACAGATTCATTCGCGGATGTGTAATTGAGTAGGGAAGAAGAAACATATTTGAAACCTCCATCTAAATTGGAGACAATATTTCGGTGTACGACAACAGTAACATCTAAAGTAAACCTACTATGCATATAAGCAAAACTTTTTAGGTTAATTCAAGGCCTTCAAAGAAGGTTCAGGGTTAAGTAAAAGCAGTTTCTCTTTTATTTCCAAAATGCTGAGGTGATAGCAATAAGTCTAAGCTTAACACTTGATTTACTTGACATTTCAGACACAGAAACAATTTTAATGTCTTTCCACGAAGCAAGCACAATATTGGTGGAAAATGATCCGTTGAAAATATCACAGAGAGAATAACATACAGTGTCCGCTCACAGCAGGCGCACCATCTGAACCAGTTAACTAAGAAGGTTTCAAGGATTGGAGACACTTGAGAACGTCATTCGTATTAAAGCCAGAGAAGTAGTCATTATTCACACTTGTGGTAACATAATATTTGCTAGATGACATTACTACTGTTTTTATTGTTTTCTTTAATTCCTAGAGGAAAATAGGGCTTCAGCCACACGTCTCCATTAAATTCGGTTCTCTGACAACGTTTTCAACTGCCTACACGTCTGCCCACACGCTTTCATCTCCTCTTCACATCACCTCCTCCATGTCACCCTCGCACTGACGACCAACTCACCGCTTTCTATTCGGGTTCCACTCGAGCAATGGCCTGGTGTGTGATGTCACTCTCTTGATGGTTTTCTCAGGGTACGGCCAATCCACCTCCATTTCTTCTTGCATATTCCTTGCACAATTGATTGTTGCTGGGTTGGTTCGTTCACTGCCAGAGATCCCTCACTATTGCCGATCTTTTCTGACCGGCCATCTGATCTTGAGTAGTACTGAACAAAGACAGCTGTTGTTGAAGATTTGTAATTTGTTCGAAGTGCCCTTCGTGACGCGCCAAGTCTCTGATCCGTATAATAAGTAGCACTGACTTCGCATTGAATTTGAAAATACGCATCTTATTTTTCATGCAGAGGAGTGTTGTAGATCTCCTGCACACAGGCTCGAGAGTAATGAAAGTTTGCTTTGCCTTCCCGATCCTCACTTTGAAATCCTCGTCAGTTCCGTACGCCTGTAGTCGAAACGATGCTTCTCAGTGGTAGGTAGGTAGGTAGGTAGGTAGGTAAGGGAGGCTGCTTCTTTCAGATTCCTCGAATTTTTGTTGATTTTTGTCTGTTGTTGTCGTCTCTGTTGCTGTCGGCCAGAAATCTTCATTACCTCTGTTTTCTCTATTTTCACCTGAAGTCCTACTTTTGATGCTTCTTCTGAAAACATGTTGCTTTTCACTTGCATATCTTTCAGTTTGTGGAAATCAGACATATATCATCGGCGAAGTTCAGATCCTGCAACCTTTTTGTGTGGGCCCATTTTATGCCTGTTTTCTCGCTACCCAGCCCGCTTTCTGCCGCATTATCCCAGTCCCCTGCAATCAGGAAAGTCATTGGAGATAGTAGGCAGCCTTGTCTCACTCCTATCTTCACTCCGAAGTATGCTGTGAGTATCCTGTTGTGGATTACTTAGCATGCAGCGTTATCGTACAACTATTGGATGACTAGACAACATATGAAGAACTTATTGAGCGTACCAGCATCAAATGAAGTAGGATCCAAGTTTATTTCCTTATCACCGGTGATTTCCTCAAATAGTTTCCACAAATTTGATGAGGTTTCGCCTAATAAGAACTTTTGACTACAGATCCTATTTAATCTCTGTATTTCTGATTTAATTAAGATGTTCAGTCTCTTAAATCGGGATTATCTTTCATTTTAAATAACCTTTCGTTTCCTTGGTGAAGCATTTTGAGCTGAGATGAGGAGAAGCGGTGAAATCTTTAAAACAGTGTCTTCTTTGAACAACAAACATCAGGACAGAATTTGAGATAACATGTTATTGTTTGTGATTGTGTCATCTAGAACTTGTTCAGTGAACAAGTCTTATTTTTGTATCACTACATTGTTGTATACTGGTATATTCTTCAATCAGAGAACAAAATGACCCTGACTATAGAAAGTCCAACAAAACTCAAGTTCTTCATTACTACTAAAATTAAGTCACTGTTATTAATAAATCTGCATACACTAACCAAAATTACTAGACAACTTACTTGTTGAATCAGCGCGATTCTCGCCATCTTTATCGATTGGCATTGCATCATTGTCAATATTCTTCGAATTATTACTATTACTATTATTATTATTGTTATTTGTCTGTGAAACGACTGACTTGATAACATCGACTTTATTCAAAAAGACAATTATCTCCTTCCTGGCTAGATCTGGCGAATTGACAATATCTCCAAATAGTTTAAATGTTTGATGATCTGTCATCTGAAATTAATATTCATTAGTTATTATTATTATTAGCATTATTATATTAATAGCTGAAAGGAATTGTAGACAAACTTATTCAAAATAACTCATTGTAATGCTCTGCTGGTTGATTGTTCTGTATCAAAGCTTAAAATTACTCAGCTTGGTCAAACCACTGGTCACTCAGGATACTTATAGAAGACAGGCAGATGATGAGTTCTGTACGTGTTTTTTTCCCTTCACGTTCCCCAGTGGAACATAGGGCTTCAAGCTAGTGGCTTGAAGTTTCTGTAGCAGTGTTTATTTTACAGGATGGGGTTGCTAGCCTCATGCCCAACCTTTCCTCTTCACCAGCATTATTTCTGGCTTAACGAGGTAAAGGAGTGCGTTGGTGGCCGGGTATCGAACCCCGGACCATGTGCATGGTCGGCGAGCGTCCTAACCGCTATACCACCGACGCACATCTGTACGTGTGTAGTGGACAAATTGTTTGGAAACTCACTCCTGAATGGTCTACTTATCGTATTTATAGTTATTTGGATGTTTCAACTAACTTTGTAATGTTATTATAGGTTTTTCCCCTAGAATGTGTGTCATCAATTTGACATTTGCATATCATGTGTTGATTCTGACCTTTACTACTTCGCTTTGTCCTTGTTTATTCCTTAATTGATAAACTCCTCTTTGTGGTAATGTGAACGTTTACAGTGTGCTGTTTAACGATATAAGTTTGTTTGAGTGAATAAAGGTGATTCTCACCCAGGATTGTCTGAGGGAGGCCTTGGTGTATGATTATTGTGGTGGCCAGAGCTTTTGATCCCACCTCGTTGGGGGGAAAATTTTTCTCCTCGATTCTAAGGTACTTTCTGGTTAACTAATCTAGTCTTAAAGTACTTGTTTTGTATTTAGAAACCTATATTGTCTGTATAGCTGCCTCACGGTACTCTTGAGGTAGGTTTGAATGTGTTGGTGTTATTATTTTATTGTTCAGTAGAACTACTAAAATCTTAAAGAATAATCGTCTTTTCCCTGCTTCTGGAACGTCTAGTGATAGCACGTGCCTCAGCGAAGTTTTGTCGGCTATACAGTAGGATGTAGAGATCGGTTGTCTTACGTTCAGACGATAATTGAATACATGAATCGGCAGAAGTTAGAATTCATGGACTGGCCATTGGATTGGGTCCCAGTGGCTTAATGGTCTACGAGCTAGCTAGCCTTGTAACCAGAAGGTCGTGCGTACTGATGAATAGCCCCATACTAGGCAGGACAAAACAGCTGTCCAGTGCTTCCTGTGACTGGTTTTCCAATGGTTCTCTAAGTGATGTCAGCTCATGATGAAATCCTCCAACCGATAACCGAATAAATTCGGTTGTTATAACCTGAGATGATATTTTACTATCATTCAACGACTGCCATCCTTCCCTACAATTTCCCATTGGAAGGGAATCCGAAATAAGTATTCATTTTCTTGAGGTATTCCCCGCTAGACATCATGACAGCTTTCTTAAAAGATCAACCTATTGAAAACATGCATGGGAATGTGGTGAGAGCTGGCTGCTAGCCAAAGTTGGTAGACAGTAATTGACGTCAATGTTTATGTCCCCAATATTGGTGCTGAGAAAATGAGAACAAAGGCTTTGCGTAGGCGGATACAGTTAGCATATGGATGATCTGACACAGCCACAAAGAGATGCAAGGTTAGCTTTCTGTGAGAAACAACCAATCAAAAGACTATATTTTCTTCTAACAATAATCTACAATAAGGTACATTAAAATCTATAAATATGTGTTGATTTTCCTTAATAAACGATCTGTTGCCTGGCCCTTGTCTTCTGTTGTTACAGGAATCACAAATAATTTCTATAGTTGTGTGCCTATTTCCAGAAAGAGAAATCTTATTCATGACTACTTCTAAGAAATACTTTTGTGGTTGTGATTTCATTGACGCGGAACTTTTTATCCTGAAAGTAAGGTGTTCTAAAAACGGTTATCTAAACGGGATTTATTGATAAAAATATTCTGAACGGGTCATCATCTCAGTCCTAAAAATATCACCTTCATGAATATCGAATCCAAAGGTGATCAGGCTCCAGATATACTCAAACATCTTCTGTATAATTCAGCCAGTAAGACATTATTTGCAGTTAAACGCTAACTGATCTTCACCAGTTTTAAGATGTTTTCCATCTGTAAAAAAGATATGCTTTCATGTCTGTCCGCCTCCTTGTGGAGTAAGGTACATAGGCTATAGCCAGAGAATGCCTTCCACACGAATATAAGAACACATTCTAGCATGGTTTTACAAGAAAGAAAAGAAGGGTGTGAGAGGCTTCTATTCTAGGACACTTGATCGACTTCTGTCACCTAACCATCAAATTAAAATCATTTTTGAACAAAGAAAGAAGAAACATTGGCGCAGAATAATCTGGATGCATTTTATTTCATCGGTCCTCATCAGCTGCGTACAACCTTACTTGAATTTCAACAGCTTCTGCCCAATGAGATACAAACGAACGCTGGTGAAAACGCTTTTCTCTAGAGCGAAGACGATGTGTTCACCAAACAAACTAGACAGTGAACTAATGCTTCTTGAAAAATGCTTGAAAGAAAATGGTTACCCACAAAGTTTCATTAACAAATATGGCAAGAATGAACTCAAGAATCTTGATACAGCTACAGTCAGTAAGAAGCCTATTTTCATCAAACTCGACTAAAAGGGCGACGACATTATGAGAATGGTAAATAAAAGATTAAGCGCAGCCCTGTCTAGGACGTATCCTGCAGCATTATTAGTCTCTCTATCCCGAACAACCTCCTCACTAGTGCAGTCAAAGATTGACAAGTACCCCTCACATGTTACCTCCAACTGTGTATAGCAATTCACATGTATTTGCGGGAGCAGTTACATTGGAAGAACAGAGAGGAGGGCCTACGTCAGATTCTGCGAAAATGTACCAAGGAGACCCCCCGTTTATTTTTCGCTTGACTCTCTTAAGAGATAATTTTTCTTGATCTTATGAGTTCTGCTCACTGTATTACATCATCAACTTCTCATCTGACCTCATGTGCACCAAAGTTTTGATCTTCTCTCATCTAATTTCGTAACTATTGCTAATTTTCTTTTATTACCACCCTGACAAAACAACTGTTAATTTTTTTCAAGAAACTTCTCTCTAACAAGACATATATATATATGTCGTGACACGTTAGACACCTTGTAAATCGCAACGCCTTATTTCACAATGACGCTCTGACAATATGCTTGCTAATGGACAAAAGTTTGTTCAAATTGCACACTTTTTTATTTTATTTACGAATTCAGGTTGTACGCAGCTGATGAGAACCGACGAAATAAAATGGATTCAGATTATTCTGCGCCAATGTTTGTTCTTTCTTTGTTCAAATTTATAAAAGGGAATCATTGTATTAAAATCACTTATCGAATTCATTTTATCCAAATTTCTGAGGACAACGAAGCCTCAGCTATTCGTGAATTTAAGACAGACCTATGTGTATAGTCGGTATCTCTCCTTCGGCCATAGTAAAGTATGGTATAGGAAGGCTTATTAGTAAAATGGTATCAGTATATAGCCAAATTATGTGTACCTTGTCTTCAACGCACTATTTGTACAGATCTTCGTGTTGTGTTACTCCAGGACTTCATACTGTATTTCTTTGTGCTTTTTTCACGTTTCCCAGTTATCCACACAACGCTGTACCATTTGCCTTTGCTGAAATCAAATGTATCTTTCTGCTATTTGACATTTATTTATGCCGATGAACATCTCTTTTTATACATATACTACTGATAGATCTTATCAGTAGCACTCACCACAACATGACTTATATATACACATATATAAAGACAAAGAAAGAATTTGAGAAATAAACTCACTTTGTTCTCCTCAATTGTAGTAAATCGATAAACATCTTCAAGTGATATAAAAAATATAATCATATTAACTGATTCAAAATAATGAAATCGTTTGTTTAAATGTTCACTTTGTTCACCCAAATTAATTGTTCTTTTTATCGCAGAATTGAAAAATGAATTAAAAGCAGGCGGGAAAGACAAACAGAGGAGAGAGGGAGAATAGAATAAGAGATTTTAAAAAAATTACTAATGTAAGCAATAGCAAAACTGCAAAAATGACAGTATGATATTTAAAAAACAAAGACTGAAAACCAGAATATCTCAACTAGATAACCGACTTTTTAGATATTTTAGATATTCCCGTCGATTGATTGAACCGAAGTGGTCGGTATCAGGTTGACATGCCGGCTTCTTGTGCAGATGCTCCGACGATGTTTGGGCATTGAATTATAATTTTATTGGTGGATGATGACTAGCAGTGGAATCCAGGATAACGCGCATTTCGTCCTATCTGGGACTCGTCAGATGGATGTACCTGCATTCCGCAGTGAGTGATGATGTTCCCACCGAGGCCGACATGTCAACCTGAGACCGAGCACTTCAGGCCAATCAGCCAACGGGAAAATCTAAAATTGAGTTAAATAATCAATATGACCCGTTGCACAAGAGGTGGCTCTCGTGGCGCAGGTGGTTTAGTGGATAACGGTTTGGCGTCTGAAACTATGGGAACTGGGTTCCAGCTTTGCAAGGAACATCATCGGTCACTAGAGAATGCACATACATCCAGTTGAAGAGTCCTGAATAGTACTAAATGCGCATCATGCTAGTCACCATTCACCAATTTACTTCTAGATAACCGACTGTAATTTACTGATGAATAAATTGAGGGTGTTTATCACATTTTGAATATTCCGCTGTCTCCTTCACACACATACGTACATACAAGCAATCATTATTTATGAGTTAAACAATCTGTCATCATATAGAATCTTGCAGAAAAATCTTTTCCCTATGGCTAGTCAGTATTGACGAACAACCGAGTGGAAATGTTGGGGAGAGAGGGAGTGGAGAAGCTTTTAATAACTCCTTCGTTTCACATCTTAGTGTCACATTCAGTCATGTTCCCCACCTTAATCAAAATTTCGATAAAGGGCAATATAATTGATTAGTTGCTTTTAAGTACACAGTTCCAGATGAAATTTTCCTACAGTTTTCTTCGGAAACTCGAAGTAATTCTTTGTTATTCCTTGACGTTGCGAGTGGAATACACAGCTTCACTGAAGAGATTTGAAGTTTTGGTAGCAGTAGGTTTATATATTTTTACGGAGTGGGGTTGCTAGACCTCACACCCAACCTTCCCGCTCTACCGGCTTAGAGAGTTATAGGAGTGCATCGGTCAGGAATCAAGCCTCGAGACCCTTGGTGTAGTCAGCAGGTGTCCTACCATCAAACCTCCGACGCACAATTCTTCTTTAGAGACTCAAAATAATTAAGTCAGATAAAATGACACCATGAGAAAAATGAAGGATGCAATATAAAAGCAGTACAAATATTACTGGGTATCAGTCATGTCAAATAATTAGGCTCACTAAGTGGATGAAGATAATCGAAGCACTAAACTGCCATTCTAATGCATCAGTTGTTGACTGAACTCTTCCTATCTTCTGCTTATTGTATGATAATTGTGTACTAGTCACTTATCTAATATATTTTGCAACATCGAACAAACTTATCGGGTTTCAGGTTTGATAACGAGCTGAAACCAGTTAGAGGACCATTGGAAAACCAGGGAGTACTGAACAGTTGTATTTCCTCTAGTTTTGAGACTCTTCAGTGGTACGCACCCACAACTTTCCGGTTACAAAGCAAGTCAGTAGAACATTCAGTTGCTAGGAACAGCAAGTTCCAATTTTCGCCACTTCCCTATACATATATCGAAATATCTGGTCCAAAATAGCCGTTTAGTACTCCCTAATTGTCCAGTGGTTCTCTAACTGATATCACCCTGTAGTTGTACCTGTAACCAATGAAACCCCTGCAAACTGACACTTGATGATCAAGTTTATTTCCTCATATTGTGTGAATTTGTTGTGATTAACCATGAACTCCATTCATTTCACACTACTTGTAATTGTATTCAACCCACCAGATTTGTCACATAAATAGTATTCATCTTGTCACGTGACACTTTGAAACTAATCTACTTTGGGCTCAGTAATCGAATTCCACATTATAGTGTATCCTTCGTACACCTGGAAATTATTATGATGGCAGCGAATATTTTTAATATCATAACTGCTTTTCAATGATTTCTGACCGGCGTTGGTTCCTGATGAAATCCGTATCAAATTTGATTCAAATCCCTACAAAAAAATTCATGGTCTAAATATCAACCTCCAGCTGGTTGATGGCTTATAGAATGATGCCTTGAGGCTGTCCTGAATAGTCTGCGCAAGTGGGGATCACCAAATCAAAGTGAAGTGGATATTTGTCGAAGACATTGGTTAATAATAGCGCTACATCAGAAGTCACTAAATCCCGGTGCAAGTGGATGAATAGTCAAAAACCTTGACGTCGTAATGTGAAGGTCCTGGGCTCGATCCTCAGCGGGGTCGTGGGTGAGTACAGATGAAGAGTTCAAAGCACGTTGAAACAGCTGTCTAGTACTCTCTAACTGGTATGTGTTAGTGATAAACTCTTCATTGAAAGCAATCCAAATCCCTAGGCTACAAACAAAAATCAATGTTTCAGTCAAAATATAACTTACCTTAAATTTATTGATCCAATAGATATAAGTGATTCTCTAACAGCTTTTGATGATTGTTTCATAATTAATAAATCTTGTAAAGTAGGCACATAATCATCTTGTATAATTCTATCCACACACTTAATAAAGCTGAAAGGGAAAAAATATTTGGGGGAAAATAAATGAAAGAATAAGCAATCGTTGAGATAAACAGAAGTCGGTTTCTGTTTTCCGAACGCCAACAATGAGTATAAAAAAAAACAAAAAAAAACAGTGAGAATAATAAATTAGGTTGTATATTGGTAGAACTTCCCCACTGTCGGTTGTTTTTTTTGTATTATCACTGAAGTGGTTCTCAGAATGTGACTAGTAAAATTCAAGGCACTGATGTTGAGAGAGAAAAAAAGAGAGAGCTTGAAGGCAAGTTTTGACAGAATGCATAAGCAATCAGTACCTAGTTCTAGGTGTATTGTTTAGTCTATTCACTGGTAGTCACATGATAAATAGTAAAAATTCCAGGTTAACATAAATTATTCATCACAGATTAGGTTTTACTGACAACAAAAAAACTCTCACTGGACTCTAGTAACTGATGTGATGTGTCTAGTCTTTTGTTTGATGTAGACGGAATTCTATCAGTCAGGTTTGCAATGTGGCTACCATTCTAGATAGCTCACTATCATGGTGCACTTAGAGTTGTTGATGTTAGATGGCTGAAGGCAAGCAGCAGGAAGCCTTGGATCTTGGTTTCGTGCTACCTGGCATTCATCAGCAAGGCATGTCTGCAAGATCCAAGGAAATCATGTCCCCTCTGAGATTCCGTGTCACCCAAATCTCATAAGAAACATGAGTTCCTTCAGGCTTGAAGATACGCCTTGCTACCTGATGACCGCCAACTTGCACGAAACCTAGATCCAAGGCTTTTTACCGATTGCCTACAACCATTTAACATCAGCAAAACAAAAATTTATCGAAGACAGTATGTTTCCAACGTTTCGAACTGCACTAGTCCTCGCTATATATATCTGGAAGTCAGAGCTATGTGTTCAAAAGAAACTAATCCCATCCCTTCTATACCTTGATGCTATTTCAATTTGACTTCTTAGTTTTCTCTTTTTTGTGTCTATTTACTTCAGTTATAAAAAAATTAACAATGCTGCGTGCCAAGTAATCCACAATGGGGAACTCATGGAATCCCTCGATGTGAAGACGTGGGTAAGACAAGGCTGCCTACCATCTCCAATGATTTTCCTGATAGCGGTAGACTAGATAATGCGACAGATGGCAGACCGGGCAACGAGGAGACAGGCACAAAATGGACCCACACTAAAAGCTTGCAGGATCTGGACTTCACAGATGACATATGTTTGATTCCCCACGAATTGGAAGATATGCAAGTGAAAAGCAACAAGTTGGAGAAAAAGCATCCAGAGAAGATAGGCCTTCAGGTGGACACAGAGAAGACAGAGGTGATGAAGATTCCTGACCAACACCACGAGCAGCAACAACAACAATCAGCCTATATGGGAGTAATCTGAAAGAAGCAACCTTCTTTACCTACCTACCTACCTGGGAAGTTTCGTTTCAACTACAGATGGATGGAACTGACGAGGATATCAAAGTGAGGATCAGGAAAGCAAAGCAAACTTTCCTTACTCTCAAGTCTCTGTGGAGATCAACAGCACTCAGCATGAAAACTAAGATGTGGATTTTCAACTCCATTATGAAGTCAGTGATATTGTACAGATCAGAGACTTGTGCCATCACATTCCGAGCCATTGCTCAAGTGGAACACGAATCGGAAGAGGTGAGGTGGTCGTCAGTGTGAGGTTGACACGGAGGAGGTCATGTGAAGAGGAGATGAAAGCATTTGGGCGGACGTGGAGCCAGATGAAGACGTTTGCAGAGAACTAAACGCAATTGAGACGTATGGCTGAAGCCCTATGTTCCTCTAGGAACTAAAAGAAACAATAATAATACTAATAATGATAAACTATCATTTCAATTTGTTTCCATACACAGCTTGTTTACACCTGTATTCGTTAAAAGGAAACTATTTTACACAAATAGTGACAATTCTCCAATCCTATGTAATTTTGTATCTAAGTATCCTTGTAATCTGTATTCACACCTTCGATAACTTTTATACAAAGTTGAAAGTTATTATTACCTTCGATCCCCTTCGTTATTATGATGGTACCACTTCATTCTGCGCAAAGTGCTGCTCTTGCATTCTACAAATAATTATTGCATCTATTTAAATTTATATATATATATATATATAATTGCTATCGTACGGCTTTTGGGAATGAAATTGCCGGAACGTTATCTTTACCGAACCTCTTATCCATCACTCTCTTATGTATCAGTCACCGACTAATGAAATGGCCGTTACCTATCTCACTTGTAGTGTTTTCAGATAAGACCGTCACCATTACTTATTTGTTCTGATGTACTGTCCTATTTATGTATGAAATTGGTCATAATTCGTATTTAAGGATTTTTGAAAAAAAGGGTTGCCCTAGTGGCCTAATTGATGTTGCTCACGGCGTCCACGGTTCAGTGGCTCAGTGTCCACCAGCCACGAAAATGTTTCGTGGTTCAGTTCTCGGCCGACGCACTCCTAAATGACGCTTAGAGAGCAGTAGGCTTTGTAGCAAAGAAAGGTTGAGCGAGGCTCTAGTAACCGCACACGGTATAAACAAAAGAGCTTCAATACTACTGAAATTTGAATGCCCCAGCTTAAAGTCTCCTGTTCTACTTTAAACGTAAGGAATAAAGAACAAGAAGTATAAGAGATGAAAAGGATGAAAACGGAACTTTCCTATCCACCTCTCCTTATCCTATTCAGTTTTTATTCCAACCGCAATCATAGAACACTGACTACATCTATTATCTTATTCACTGTCACAAGATTAATAATATTATCAAAGCGACATTGAACATCGAACCACTAACAAGAATGTCTTGTTCAATTGATGAGATGAATTGCTTATTTTTTCTTATTGTGGTTGTTGTACAGTTTAAACGTAGAAGCGGGAAAAAAGCAGTCACATATGCACACAACGCTCACATATACACATGCATATTGCATAATGATGTGCAGAAACTTTGTGTTGTTTGTTTGTGTGTGTGTGTATACATGCAATTCATATGCCCACAAATCGATAGATAATCTTTAGACAATTATGCTAAACAGCAATTTGGTATGTGTACATTCTTAAAAAATACTGCAAAGTGACCACTTTGTAATAATATTATTAGTCAGCTTTCTGTCACATTTCTAATTTTCAAATGTTTTTGTCTGAAGGGAATTGATTGGTTTCAGATTTCATCACGAACTGATTTTAGTTCGATAGCCACTGAAAAACTAGGCGTCAGTACTGGACAATGGTTTCGTCCTAGTTTGGGCCTCTTCAGAACAGTTCGAAATCCAACTTGAAGTCTCAAACTCTTTAATCAAAAACAGTTCGCGATTAATTTTGTCACATTTCTTTCACAGAAAAAAACAACAGCTAACAACAGTACTAATAACAGGAGACTTTAAAGACCTACGTTCCCCTCAAAATATAAATATATGACCTTGGCGGCCTGCTTAAATCTTGGGCTACCAAATACCTTAATCATTACAAATCATATTGCATCTAATTGGTCACTTCCAATTTTATTTTAAATAATTAAATTTTATTCTAATATGTCCTCAAATCGGATTATTTATCCTCGTGAGTATTTAATATCCTTAAAACCTACTGATCGGAAATGCCACAAAAAAGACAAAAAAAAGCATCACGCCGGGTGGCAAAGAGCCTTAAAAAACACCCCTATTCAATTCATGACCGTTCCTGCAATCATGAGTACTAACTGTCGCTCCCTACCAGCTAAAATTAACTGTCTTCAATCACTCGTGTCTTCCATTATATATCGAAATACTGGGATCATATCACTTCAAGAAACATGGCTACATGATGACAATCTAGTGTATCTGCATGATTTCAAACTATTCAGACAAGATCGATGCAGTTCTAGGAAGAAACGTGGTGGAGGTGTCGCCATCTTCATAAATTCACAATGGTGTACATCTAATAAAGTATGTTTCAAATTCTCTAGTGACAACATTGACTGCCTCACCGTCAAATGTCGACCTAAGCATTTGTCAAAATATAACTACATATACATCTCGAACATTTATATTGCAACTGGATGCAATTCCACTGAATTGTCTTTACTTGCTGATGAATTTACCTCCTTTGCTGCCACCTCCTTCGGAAACTCGTTGTCTATTGTTACTGGAGATTTCAATTCTAGTGATCACAATTTCCTTATTTCACTTGGTCATGATAACATTGTCAACTTCCCGACTCGAATGGATAATATTCTAGATCTTGTGTTCACAAATGACATAGGAATATTTGAAGCTCGGAAAAGAGCCCCACTACTTAACTCTGATCACTGCATCATAAGAGTATTGCCCAAGGTATATGGAAAGCTGCACAAAAGGGTCTTCTCCCACCTTGGAAAGAAAACACAACACAGATGCTATTCACATGATAACATACAGAATCTAAGGACAATGTTAAAAGACACAAACTGGGACCTGTTTACTGAACAAGCTCTTGACAACACAATTAGTAACATAACACATTATCTCAATTTCTGTCTTGATGTTTGTTGTCCTAAAGAGACAATCTTCTTAAAGTTCGACCGTTTCGCCTCATCTCAACTCAAAAAGCTTCGCCGTCAAAAAGAGAGGTTATACAAAATGAAAAATAAATCTGGTGTTAAGAGAATAAACACTTTGATTAAAGCCGAATTACAAAGATTAAATGCTCTCTATAACCAGAAGTTTCTTTCATGTAAATCCTCATCTAATATGTGGAAGCTATTAAAGGAAATCACAGGTGGTAAGCAAATAATGAATGATACTTCTGTCGATGTTGATATGCTTAATAAATCCTTCATATGTATCCCTGCAGATGTTATGATTCCCAAATCTAATAGTATAAATAATGACTGCTTTTCATGTTTTAACACGAATGATGTCCTCAAGTGTCTTCAATCTCTCAAACCTACCCAGTCCCTTGGTCCTGATGGAGTTCCTGCTGTTATCCTTAAGAAGTGTGCTGACATCTTATGTTACCCATTAACTGACATTTTCAATGAATCTTTTTCCAAAAGTTTTATTCCTGACTCATGGAAAAATATCAAGGTTGTTCCAGTGCCCAAATCAACAAGTGGACCTACTGTCAAGTTTAGACCCATTGCTATTACCTCACCTTTTTTAAAAATTATGGAAAGACTTATTTTACTTAATCTTGAACCCTCTTTAAAGCCTTTTAACGACCCCAACCAGTTTGCCTATAAACATAGTAGGTGTACCCTAGATGCCGCTGTAGTTCTATATCATAATATAGTCTCTAGTTTAGATAGAGGAGCCAAATATGTTCGGTGTGCCTTCCTTGATTACACATCTGCATTTGACTCTGTACCTAGGTCTCTCTTGTTAAGTAAGCTTGCTGCAACACAGAGTGAGAGCTGGATAAATAAGTGGTTGTATTCCTACTTTTCTGATAGGAAGCAGTACACTGTCTACAATGGAAAGTCCTCCTCTACCTCACTTACTTTACCTGGTGTTCCTGAAGGTGCCGTTCTTTCTCCTTTTCTGTTTTCTTTTTTCTTACATGACTTGCCCCATTCTGATGTAGCCACTTTTGTCAAGTATGCTGATGACCTCTCTGTCTCCATGCCTGTCAACTCTCAGTCAGACTGTTCCATATTAAATAACTTTCTCTCGGAAATTAGTCAGTGGTCCTCTTCAAACGGTCTTAAGCTGAATCCGTCTAAATGTCAGGTAGTAAATTTTACTAAAAAAAAAAAAAAAAAAATTCAACAACTAGCTAGCTCACATGGTCCCACTATCATTGACGGCATAGAGGTTGAAACTACATCAGATGTCAAGTACCTTGGACTGAGTATTTCCTCCGATCTTTCCTGGTCCTCTCACATCTTGCTAGTGACTAGAAAGATGTTTCGCTTAACGTTCTACCTTAGGAAGTTTAGGCAGTCTGGTATAAAGCAGTCTTTACTTTCTCAGTTTGTCAATTCCTGTATTCTACCCATCCCTCTTTACTGCTCCCCATTAATCTTTCCAGGACTACTTAAGAAAGACTTTGCTTTGCTGAGAAGGGCACTAAAAGCTGTTAGTAGGGCAAGTGGGATATCGTTAAACCAACTGGTTAACACCATAGTGGATAGACATATAATGTCATGTAAGAAACTAGCGAATTCTATATTGTCTGACCCCGAACACCCTTTCTATACGCACCTCTCTCCTTGCATTTCATCTGGTAGAACTAGAAGCAACTATAGGAGGTTATATGCCAGGACTACCAAGTATACAAACTCCACAATACCTTATCTGGCACAGCTGTTATGTGATGAGAAAACTGTTAGGCATGACATGATCAATTTACTGCGGCACTCTAACAAATAGTTCCCATTAGCTTTTGTTCTTCTTTCTTTGTTACTATTATATTGCTGCTCATATATTCTATTACAGACTAATTTTATATATCGTATCCTGTGGTGCACTGTTTAAATATGTGAATGCAATGCTGTTCTTTTTTTATTTTATTTCTTTTATTTCTCTTTTTCTTTTTGTTGTTGTTGCTTTATATTTCTAAATCCTTATAAAATTTATGAGGTAATTAGATGCAATATTGTAATGAACGCTGAAAATTCCATACCTGTACCACAAATACTGTTTGGAATAAAGCCATTATTATTATTATTATTAAAAAAAAAGTGGTTATTTACAAAGGATGGAGAAGATTCGTAGTTCTGATAGGTGATATTAATGTATTTATGGGCGTATATGTGTGACTGTTCGTTAATGTGGTTGCTTAAATGAAGGAGAAGCCTTCACCATTGCCTTTTTAGACAACATCTTTCCAGCTCTATCTTCATTTTGAAATAAGTTTCTGGAAACCTTCATGGGTTTAATAATCTGCTCCACATCTACGAACATAAGCTTACTACTGATGTATACGGACAACTGCGGATACTAACTCTACTGGGAAGTGTACAAATGTTAGACAAAGAAAACACCAATATTGTGATCGCATTCTTAGAAGCCTGGTACTTGGATGAATCTACAGTCAGTAGACATACTGATATAGATCAGATTTATCATGCAATGGTAAAAACGTCACATAAACGAAAGGTCAACCATCAGGTTAACGCAATAATTGATAACAATGTAGGTAAATAAGACAGTAAGCTAATCTTCAGAGACAGAGTTACATTCACGGTCTTTAGGAGAGGCAGTTATAACGTTATCGCAGAATTCTAAAGATCACATCCTGCTGACGTTGAAACTGAAGATTCCGTCTAGAAGGATTTATACGAGTGGTTGGAAACCAGTCACGTAGACCAGGCGGAGGTTAAATAGACAACGGACTGCCGTTTCATTCTCTTGAAATCAAACTTGAGAGTGGTGTATCCAATATAACGCAACTCACAGTCATGAATCATTTAAAACCACCCAAAATCTGTCTAGCTAGTCTCCAGAACTGATGATTCACAGAATCTCATTAGCAACCAGCAATATAAACGACCATACTATTATGCAGTCTTTTTTGATTATCCTCTTTGACGTCAAGCAGACCACATATAATTTCCGTTTCCAAGGGAAACTGTGGTGGATTTGCACGTCAAAATATCATTAATGTAGTCAGTATTAGTGTATAAACATATTTTATTTGAAATCTACATCAGATAAACTGCTGAAATGTATCTGAATGCCAGATGATTCACAGCAAAAGGCTCAGTGAAGCATTTGAGGTGAAGAAAGGAGTAAGACGAGGCTGCCCGTTATAACTGACGGTTTTCCTCAGTGTGTTGGACTGCAACACGCAACAGGCAGTGAGTGGGGTGCGAGAAGACAGAAATATGTTGGACCAGTAGAAAGACATTAGAAGATCTTGGCTTCATTGAGGATTAATGTGTAATATCGTACAAACTCGCAGGTCTACAGACGAAAACCAATAAAGTGGCAGAAGAATTAGCGAAGACAGGTGATGAGGATACATAACCAACAAAGATCAATCACTACCAACGGGAGAAATCTAAAGAAAGACATCTCTGTAACTTACCGAACCTGATGAGAATCGCTTCAACTACACACTGCATAGGTGGCGATGTCAAGGTCAACCAGCATCAGTGAAACAAGACAGACGTTCATCATTTTGACGTTAGTGTGGAAATCCGCTGTACTCAGCATTAGCAACAAAATTTGGATTTTCAGCAATAATGTCAAAACAATGCTTCTGTTTTAGTCCACAGACGAATCACCAAAACATTTCCAGGAGACTGAAGGCTGCAATGAAACAGAACGCAGGGAACGAACCAACGAACAGCCCTCTGCCCAACAGATATGTGAGAAGAAATTGCGAAGGACTGAATATACATCTGAGAAGACCGATGAATAACACCACTCGCCAGACAATCCACTGTATGGAACCCAAGTTGAAAGCGAGTGGCGAGTTAGGCATGGTTACCAGGGTGATATGGCCTACATCATGTGAGGACGAAATGATAACTCTTGGGAAATCGTGAAGCCAGTTAACAACCAAAGACTTCAGAGAACAGAAGAAAGAAATAGCGATACTTCATTATTCTATTCGGAACAAAAAGGACGAATAATATTGTGTTAATACAGTTTAAAGATCTTGTCAGTAACCAGCTATGCCCTAGTTTGCAGACAGTACATCTATTGATATAATAATTTTTTTAGAATCGAAACTGACTTACTCATATTTCAAAGCTCAGAATTAAAATGCAGTATGGGACAATTATTGAGGAAAACTAACAATTCCTGCGTATTTAACCACCCTACACTCACACTTTGAAAAGTATCACCATCTGTCAATGCTAATTCACAGTGTCATCATTGCAATCATTCATTGTCATTTGAGAGTTTTAAATTTATCTAAATCAATATAAATATGTATATATACTTTATAAAAAATAACAGAGGAGATAAATTGAAAATTGAATTATTCTTTTTTTCATTCAAAAAAAGGAGGTGTTTACAATCTATCTCCCTGCATAAAAAAAAACAAAACAAAACAACACTAATTCAATCTTACAACTTACTACGAACCAGCGTAACTTTTATGGGATAGAATTGGCAGAAAATCAATAAATGCTTTACGAAACTCCACTTGATCTGTAATAATCTTCATAATAATTTGCAATGAACGCAAAGAGATTTTATGCTCTGAACAATTGGCACTTGCCGGTAATTGATCAATTGAAAATTCTAACAGATTGAAGTTACTATTCAGCTCAACATAGTTTGCTTTCATATGTGATGTACCACTTGTTGATTTGACATGATCTCGACCTGATATGATAGAGGGATCAAGATAAGAGGAAAATGAAATGCTCTTAATACATTGTCATAGCAACAAAATTCCATTGTGGTTTCAAAGATACGTCATTGAAATCTTAAGTTTTAGAAAACAATCAAAAAACTTCAATTCCATATTAGTTGGAGGGTTTCATCATGAGCTGACATCAGTTACGGAACCATTAGAAAACCTGCAGAAAGTACTGAACAGCTGTTTCGTCGTAGTTTGGGCTCGAACCGAGGACCTTCTCGTTACAAGGCCAGCTAGCTCATAGACTATTAAGCCACTGGGACCCCATCCAGTGACTAGCTCATGAATTCCAACTTCTGCCAATTCATGACATAGCGCGGCCACTTCTTAATGTCTTCTTCGGTGAGTTACTGCCTCACTTTTAACCTGATGTACCCTACTGGTCACGGCTTGCCACTAGAACTCCATGTTAATTGCATGAATAGGGCCAGTCGCTAGTGAGTAGGTGTCGAATCATTCCTATTACGGGTAATTTCAGTTAATTCGATAAATAGAGATTGCGTTATCAATCTCCCTCCATCTTGGTACATTAGATTTTAAAACTGTCATCCTGTCCCATCATGTTATATGATTGTGTGTAATTGCATATAGTGAGTGCTATAGTTGAATTATTCTCTAGATTTCTTTTCTATAAACACTAGTGTTTAACCTCTCATTTTCTTTTCTTATAACGCTATAGTATAACATTGGAAGCTCCCCTTCCTGACTTTTCAATTCATAAAAGGATCGTATTGCCTCTGCCTTCAAGTTGATATGTTTAAAAAATCTATCTATATCCTGTGTTCTAAGTACGGTGAATGTGTCATCTACTTACCTCCACCATTCTTTGCAGGTGTGGCTGAACATCTCATTCACTAAGTTTTCCCACCTATCCTTCAATATATCTGCCGAAATTGAGGATATTGATAACCCCATGGTAACGCCTTCAGCTTGTTTGTGTATATTTTCCCTTGGAATTTAAATACTGTGGACGTCAGGCATAGCTGCGCTCCTAGCATTATGACTTCTGGTGGAACGTTTGCTCCAAGTTCAAGTTCTTGGTAAGAAATGACCAGAAAATGACATCTATTTAAGGACCACCAAAAATGAAGGAAGTCTGAACGACTGCTTCGTCCTTGTTTGGGACTCATCAGTAGCACGCACTGATGACTCCATCGGAGATCTAACACAGGAACTTCAGTTCATGAGCTAAGCTGGTCCACCTTTCAGTCAACTAGATGGGATTCTCAATATTATAGCACAGTGGCCAGCCGGTGTCACTGTTTTCACACAATCTGGTGGAACTCAATGTTCACGAATCCTAAGTAGGCCTTTAGGCAGCTTTATCTTGTAGTCAGTGATAATGAGATTAATTTTTAAGTGTTGTTTTGCACTAATTTAACGGAAAATCAACCCACTCTATAAAACACAAAATAATTGAGCATAGAATATCTTTTTCGATAATTTCCTCTTCTGGTTCTACAATTATATACTTATATGTTTATATACATAGAATATTCTAGATTGGTAGTCAATAACAATATTGGTCCTTTTAAATAATATCGATTTGTAAATTAAGATCAATTGAATTACATTTCATTAAAGATTCTCAAATAATAATAATAATTAAGATAAAATAGCAAGTAGAATATCAACTAAAATTATGGAAATATCTACAAAAATTGAGGATTATTCAAACCTAGATGGCCAAGGTAAGGACAGTGTCTGAACAAGCTTCTTTTGGTCGCCAAAATTAGGCTTCTTAATGTGGATCCCAACAGCTTCAGCAATATTTAGTAGTCGAACTCTTAAGGCAAAGTTGAGATTCGTAGGTATGCTGTAAATGACCCTGAAGCATGGTTAACGTCAATCTTGTGTTCCGTATCCACAAGATGAGATAGAATAGCACTGCGAATAGATTTTGTTTGTCCTTTGCTTAACCACTTTGCAGGGTAATGTTCGGAAATTTGACGAGAAACACACCTAATTTATGGCCTATGTAACTGTTTCTACAAGAGCAGTTAAATTGGTAGGGGGTGAAATTAGGCAGTTTGTCTTTTACTCCCGAAAGCAAAAGAGGAGTGGTTTTGAAGAATAATCTAAAGAAAATTTCTTTTTTGCAGAAACATTAACTATTCAGAGACCAAAACACTAATAAGGAAGTTAATTAAGTGATTCAACATAGTTGATGGTATTGAGTACAGTTCAACTAAAAGTGAAAGATCAGCGTCGTAGTGAGTCTAGGTGTATTAGTGAAAACTCAGCAGTTAGCTGGGTTTTAAGTTCAGCCAGCATCACATATATAGATGGTGAGTACTTGGAAAGAGTAGATTTAATGAAATCAAATCAAAGAGCAGATTTTTGGTTAAGAAAGGCAAAAAGTAGCTTCCACCAAGGAATCAATTTCAAAACATACAGAGTAATTGATTACAAACTGTTATCAGAAATCCATATCGACCACCCCACATTTCTTTAAGTGGAACATGATGTTGTTACTGATGACTTCACTGCCGACGTAAACAGCCCTCCTCTAGACTCAAGTGGCTTATTAATGACATCTGCTTTTCAAAATGCCCCTAAGCATCTGATTATATTGGACGTTGTAAGCAAGTTCTCCGAGAACACGTAGCTGAAAAATACCAGGTATGGTCAGTGTAAGGCAAACATAGAATAATAAAGTCCACTCTTTGTGAACAACTTTATTTTTTTTTGATTTACAGCTTGATTCCACACCGTATTTTCAGTACAAGTATGGAATTTTCAGCATGGATTTTGGTAGCCCAAATTCAGGCCGACCATAGATATCGGGTGTGCGCCGGCAGGGAATCGAACCCCGGACCATGTGCATGGTCGGCGAGAGTCCTAACCACTGTGCCACCGACGCACAGTCAGTGGTCAGTCAGGTCACTGAACCTTACACTAATTATCCTTTAAAGTCATCTACAGGACTAAATTCATTAACTCCGAATATTTGCGTTTTAATCCCTTACGTGTAGCCGAAGCACTGAACTATGTATTCAAAAAATATTTTCTTAAACTTCTTTCTTGACTCGGGTTTTGGTAATGTTCTTTTTCATTTTAACACTTGAATTCATCACACTTCAATTTAACTTCGCCTCAACCATACCCTACTTAGCTCGTGTTCTGTGCGATATAGCAAGCATTAGGCGTGACACCTATAATTCATTAAATAGTCAGTAGTACAACTGGATCTCGTCTTTCAAATTCATATCATTTTTAGGTACAACATTTTCTCTCTTTCTTTCTTTTCCTTTTCTCTCTCTTTTTCCGTTATGTGCTGCTTTGTTTCTTTCTTTCACTTACGCCAGTAAATATGATAGCACCTACTTTTCTGACACCTTCAAACACTGTTCAACTTTGGCTTTGCTACCGACACGCCAATATGTTGTTGTCATAATGAACTGAGATTTCCTTAATCTATGTAGAATTCTATTTATTGATAATGTACTAACTGGATGCAATACTGTAGTAAAATGCTGAGAATTCCATTCTGTATCACAAGTACTGTTTTGAAATAAAGCAAATTATTATTCTCATTATTCATTGTTATTATAATCGCGCTTTTAACATCACCTAACCTACTTTCACTTGTTTAACAGTCTTTTAAATGATTTTGTCATTCACACACTTCAACTCTTCCCACGTCTTTAAAAGTCATCGCAATCATCTTTATTGTTATCATATGCATATTGACCAGGTAAGTTTTAGTTCCAGTTAATGCTTTTATCCGTAATATAAATACGACTCTACCGCTGTAAGAAATGAGAACGTTGGAAATAAATATTTCTTTGATTGTTAAAGTTTGCGGAATCTCTTCAAGGATTTCCAGTTTGAGTAATAGCCGACTTCAATTAGAGAACCACTTAAAACCAGAGGTTACTGAATATTTGTTTCATCCTAGTTTGGGACACTTCAGCAATACGCCACTACCACCCCGTCAAGGATGAGACCTTGGAATTTCAAATTACACAACAAGATCGTTGATTACTGAGTCAAAGGTGAACACCACTAAAGAGTACCAAACAAGGATGACATAACTATCCAGTACACCCTTTTGGTTTTTTTGTGGTTCCCTCAAATAAAGTCAGTGAGTTCGCGATCAAATATGAAGTCTTCAGAATACCTTAGATAGGATTTATATTCTTGTGTGTAACACCTTTGCAATTCTTCTTAACTCACTCTCAGGCTTAAGAGTTTTCATAAAGTAATTGAGGACAATTTTCTAATAGAACAGAGAATTTTCATTGGACACTGGTAACTAGTGTGACGTTTCTACTCCTTTCTTTGGTGCAGACTGAATTATATCAGTCAGGTGTGCAATGTGGCCACCATTCTAGGTAGCTTGCCATCACGGTGCACATTTGGTTTGATGATATTAGATAGTTGGAGACAATTGGCAGGAAGCCTTGGACCTAGGTTTCGTACTAGTTGGCACTCATCAGCAAGGTGTATCTGCAACCTTGAAGGAACTCATGTCTCTTCTGAGATTCGAACCCGCGTCACCCAGAGAATTATAGTTTTATACCACATTTTAGTTCGCTCAGTTTGTTAACTCAAAAATCACGTAAAATGTAGCGGGGAAAATGACTTTCTGAGTATAGATTTCCCCAGTAGTTAGTAAGTTTCTATTGCTGTTCCACAAAACATACAGAAATACATTGAAAGCATTTCTAAAACTCATCCAATTTTCCCGCTCTGCTGTGTGGCAAGTTTATTAGACATATGGGCAGAAAGTTTACACCGCGTTGTCATAACGACACTTGCAATTTGAAATACCTCCTTAGCCTTAGTAGTTAACCAATTTACAAAGTTACGAGAATTCTACAGTAGTATACAAACCATAGAAACAGAACATTTCCGACAGGTCCATATATTGTAATGATTGTGTCTAAAGTCGAATTCCCCTTCTCAAGTGACTGTAGATAACCAGCAGTAAAAGTTAATTAAAACTAGAGTAGATATG